GATAGATAGATAGATAGATAGATAGATAGATAGATAGATAGATAGATAGATAGATCAGGATAGAGAGAGGGAGAGAGAAAGAGAGAGCAAGAGAGACTTAAATTAAAATAAATAATGTAACAATCAGCAGCATTAATGCAACCATTTAAACATTAGCTGTTATAAATAACTGCAACTCACTGTGATTAAAATTCAAATCGGGAAGCGCGTCTTTTCGTCAGGCTTACAATAAGTATTTATTACATTTTACATTACACGGACATTTTATAATATAGCGAGGGAAATTCTTCGTTCTTGCATAGATTGCGTTGACAGTTTCTCACTGGAGACGGTGATGAAGGTGTGTCACGGTAAGAAGCACTGCCTGGTGCTAGCTAGCACGTCCAGATTCAACGACCCCTGTCCGGCAAGAGTCGCAAAGTACCTCGTCGTTGTCTACACTTGTGGTAAGCCAACACAGAGATCTATGAGGTGGTGTCATTTTATACTTACGTCTGTGTACTTTGTCATCGTTATCATTCACTGATATACGGTGTGATTACTGTCACGTGTGATGTGACGCTTATCATTATCGTTATCTTTGTTATATACATCGTTATCGTATACATCCTTGTGTTTTGTGTAACTCGGTAACCTCTTCCGTAATGTCTATATTGATCATAATAATAGGAAGCAAGGATCTATATGAGCTACATTTAATGCCACCTGGTGGAGAAAATTTCAAAAAATGTGCCCAGATATCGCGTGTTATATTGCGCGCTATAGCGTGTTATATTGCGCGCTATCGCGTGTTATATTGCACGCGTAAAAATTCCGCACCGTACCCAAGCTTGCTGACTGCACCATAAATATTATTAAATTTTTCTTCTTTGTAACTAATGGTGCTTTAAAAGGCAAATGTCATAAATTTGATTAACATTAAATGAAATGATAATTTTACTTTCAGTTCCAGCGCGGATACTGAAGCGCCTGTACACGCAGGAGGACAGTAGCCGGGGTATTCTAGGTGGCCAGCCCAGCTACATACCCGACCCCTCGATGGTCAACAACAACAACAACAAAAACAAAAATGCAGGCGTCCAGATTAACCGGACGGCGGGCAGAAGGCCGGACAACAGTGGTGAGCATACGACACGCCAGTAACACACCTCTAACGTGCAATACATGTGTATAGTGCGATAGATATATGAACATTGCAATAGATATATCAAAATGAGCTAACCCATATATCTATGCAATAGTTGTTAGTACCGTGTGATAGCGAAAACAACAATGATATAGATAAGAGAACGATGGATCAATATATACAATGATCGATAAGTTATTCGATGGGTTGAGACTGTAAATCTGTGCGTTACCAGAAGTAAAGTGCATAATTCAATAGCATCTACCAGCAGCAGTAAAAAAAAATATCAATAAAATTATTATTTTTTTAAATCCAATAAAAAATAAATAAAAATATATCACACAACCCATTGCATCGATGTTACATTGCTCCACTGTTTCCACGTCTCTCGGCACATCTACGTCACGTGTTTGTGTGTCCGCGCGGCGGCGTGTTGCAGGTGGGGTGTACCTGGGCGAGTACGATTATGGCTTCGCTGTCAACACGGAAGCGAAGCAGAACGGTGATGAGCACACATTCCAGCAGGGCAGCAGCCATCTGGGAGCAACCATCCTAGCGGACGTCGTTCTCTCAATTCAGTACCTGAAAGGTAACTAAAGCGCGGCGTGTGTGAGACCCTCCCACCGGTAGCATTGAGACTATCGGCTGTATCTTGTTAGCACGACCTCTGGTGGCATTGAGACCATTCATACACGACCTGTCATTAATAACGGTGACATGCAACCTGTTACTGAAATTGATTACATGCAGCCTGTGACTGACAATAGTAACATAACATCTATCAATTATAATGGTGACATATGATGTCTGTCAATAATAGTAGTGATGACATGCGATCAGTCAACGACAATGGTCACATGCAATCGGTAAACGACGATGGTCACATATAATTGGTTAACAACAATATTAACATGCATTCGGTCAACAACCATATTAACATGCAATTGGTCAACGACAATATTAACATGAAATGAGTCGACGACAATGGTCACATGCAATCGGTCAACGACGATGGTCACATATAATCGGTTAACAACAATATTAACATGCAATCGGTCAACAATAATAATCACATGTGATCGGTCAACAACAATAGTCACGTATAACCGGACAGCGACAACAATGACATGCGATCCGTCAGCGACATGTAACCTGCTGCCACCTTCCCCATGTTTCCCGTTGCAGAGCACAGGGAGACGATCGGCATCTACTTTGGCTTCAGCCTGTGCGTCGGTGTCGGCGCCCTCGCGCTCGTCTGCGCCGCGAAGCTTGTGCGGCGGCGCCACCGTGCGAAGGCGGCCGCCGTCACGACGCCCGAGAACAAGTCGCTGATGAAGCCGCCGCCGACGTCGGTCGCGAACGGCGTCGTGACCTCCGACCTCGACCTGCTGTCGGACGCGCTCGAGCCGGTGCAGTTTACGGGCAGCACGTTCCGCGGCTCGGCAAGCCCGCCGGGCCGGCCGCGCAGCTACCACTCGAACACGAACTCGCACTACGCGTCGCACTACTCACGCTACAACCACATGCAGATATAGCGGCGTGGTGCGCATGGCGTCCCCTGGCGGATGCTGTCGATAAGTTGCTGCGATGCGGCCGTGTGTACGTTGCGCCACCTGACGGGGGCGGTCAGTAAGCAGACACGGTGCTGGAATGGTACTTTGCCCCAATGAACAGACACTACTGGGTCCTGGTGAAGCTGTGCGGTTGAGTGGTAAGGGAATGCTCCTGCACCCTGGTTGGTAAAGACTAAGGTAGTCTTGTGGACAAGCCCTGGTTGTCACAGTGAGGAAGCGTGCATGTTTACTACCCCCACTACTCTGTAGAGCTGCGTGGCACCCACAGTATGGCCACACACTAGCCACGCCAACAACAACCTTGCGCAAATGTAGCGTTCTGTGCTGCACGCACCATGGGGGGCAACATATATATTAGTGTGAACACCACCTTATCTGCAGTTCCTGACAAAATGCTGCTGGTATGGTGAAGACTGCAGCAGTAATGACGTAGAAACATCGGGAAAACGAGGTGGCACGTGTCCAAGGTATGTGCACAGGTTTGGCATGACGGATGTGGACATCTTGAGAGGCACCCTCAATTCACAGAGAAGTGGCCATGTGTGCCGGCACGCATGGGCGGTGGACAGCACACGTGGGTGGTGACGGTGTGTGCGGATGAGGATTGCTAGAACGCGTGGGCAGTGACGGCACTGAATCGATAAACCTCGTTGTCGTTCCTTGTCTATCGCCGTGACGAACACTTATCCTGGAGTATTTACTAGTCTACCGATTCACAGCCAGTTTATTACAAGCAGAACTGATGGAATGCTGGCGGCAGCAGACATTATAAGATATTGTCGCCATTGTTCTCGGAAAGTCAAACCTCCGAGGAAGGTTGTGGTATCACCAATGTATTGGTGGGCGGTGTATTAAAAGAGCGAGAAAGCCAGAACGAGAAAAGATGTGTGAGAAGCCACCCACTACTCCTCCAAGTGGTACAAGTGGCGCCATCTTCCGAGGACGACAGCAGTGTATATAGTGTGTGAACAAAAGTGGCGTCTAATAAAGGCGCCGCGTATGGCGAAGGAGAGCTGTATAGCATGTAAAAGTTCGCATACACCGAATACTAACACGATATGTTTCCCGAGCAGCATGAAATGCTGCTGGGTGTGACATGTGTCAGCATTTATTCGTCTGTAATTATTAGCCATAAGCTTACGATGTAGCCGTGGGGGGCTGGCTTGCCAGAATCGTGACTAGCCTGTCACACACTGGCCCTTCCAGCTTCCACCTGTCTGTAGCATCGGGAACACAGTAATGGCATCAGCAGTTGCGCTGCGTCCTATAGTTACACTTACGAGTCGTTATAGACGGGCTTAAGATTTAGATGCATAGTTGTGCCGGTGTCAGTGTAACGTGGGTGTGAGATGCCAGTTTGTTGCTGTCTGTTAGGGCGTTTTATTTGGCAGACCGATGACGACCACTGTGCTGTGGTGACAACAGACTCATAGTTTTAACAAATCATGTCGAATTGATATGGAATCTATTTTATAGCGAAATGCAAGGCAGGCACCCATGTTGTAATCGTTCCAAAAACGCACGAAGTTTTTTTTTATTTAACGTTCATTGTGGATTATTTTTCTCCTTTATTTATTTACGTTGTGTATATAAGTGAGGAATGTCTCACGCCACAAGTGTTGGCCGATAAAAAAATAGCGAGACTGTTTATAAAGAAAGTAATTATAATTATTGTTAATATCGCATTTTTTTAATTATTATTATTTTTTGGTAATAGTTTATACTTGTCGAAACCTATCATTTAAATGTTGCTAGTGTACAGAGCATGTGTAGTTGCCATGCGCACGATGCTATATATTCGCACAAACGTGATGATACGAAGGACTGGTATCTAATGATAGATACGTAAGATACGTACTGCTTGTTGCAGTTGCTGCTGCACACTGCGATTGCGTTTTGTACGTATGCCGCGTTCTTAGATTACTTGATTATGGGTACGTCAGCGCAGCCGACGTAAAAGCGTGTATAGCCCCGTTACGCATGTACCACGATGCTGGGTCCCTTGTGGCGGGTCACTCTGTCCTGGGTACGACTAAAAAGCTCGAGTTAAGTCTATAATTGCATTTACGCGGAGCGTAACAAAAGCAATATTTTCCAAGCCGAAGCTTCGCTAGCCTCATCAGTGTGGACGTCGCTCGCACGTGCGTTCGTTGTTAAACGCCGTTTCCCAGGCGGGCAGCCAGGCAACTGATAGAGAGAAGCCGCGCTTTTAGATTATTCGTGGCACGTATAGCGTAGCCGGCAGCTGCGCTGGTGATGCGCTAATCTAATTATCTTCCTGACGAAAGTTACTTGGGGAAAAATATTTTTGTAATTCCCTTTTTTCCAATGTGTTTACATTCGCCGAATTGCAAACAGGCTTGAGTTATGTTAATTCATCGGATGGAAGCCCGCGAGCGTGTTGTAGGGTGAGAGTATAGCAAGCAGGCATCCCAGTAGCGCTATCGTTGTCTGTGCGCAGTGAAGTTGTGTGTCGTTTTGACAATCATGTTTGTATACCGCACTCCGCTTTACAACGATGTGTGTAAACCTTGTATATGCCGAGTAACCCCGTGTTGTATGTGTTACCAGTTATATGTGGATTTGCCTCATTGTGCTTTACGACGAAAGGCATGAAGGATTGCATTTCGTCTTAAAGCAATCCTTCCTGCGTCTCGTCTTGATCGTCGTGCTGCCGTGTTTAAGGAATATTCACCTGGCGTTCTGTTACGTCTTCCCCTCGTTAATCGTTATCACTTGTGAATTTGTGAGTGACTTCCCATGCGATTTTGTTTTTGGGCGGGGGGGAATCTCAGTTTCGTTTGTTGTTCTGTAATCATGACATTGTAATAATGAAAGACGTGAGGCATCATTGCCAGTTTATTTGAAGAGAGCAAACGTTGGAGTAATCATGGAGTCGCATATTGCGTTTGACTACAGTAAATTTTCGATTATCCAGCACGCTATACAACGGCACTCTCTATCTAGCGGCACTAGAAGAGGCACAGTAAACGGTGTTGTGAATATAAATAGTGTTTAGAGTTAGTTTAGAATACTGTTTCTAAATAAATGAAGTAAATGTAATTGACAGTACACTGTCTTTTTTTATATTTTAGTAAATTGACTCCTTACATCGCATTAGAACCCAATTGGCTTATATAACAACATTCTCCGGATTAGCAAATGCATTCATTTTTAGATCTTGATTATTTCACTGTGTATTAATGGCCTCTTTACTGGAGCGTCCACCCCCTATTTCCCGAATGTTAACCACCCCGCATTCTCAGTCTTTCAAAACTTTCGGTCGTTTTTTCGCATCAGTTCTGTGCGCCACGTATCATGTCGGCGGCCTTCTCAGCGATCATGATGACGGGCGCATGCGTGTTTCCTGCCACGATTTCCGGCATGATGGAGGCATCCACGACCCTCAGTCCTTCTACTCCACGCACCCTGAAACACACGGGGGTGGCACGTCATGCACTGACACGAATCACAGAGTCACTATCAGGAGCTGATCCAGGAACTCTGAATAGGAGACGTCAAATAAATGCGATGTGGAGGGAGGTTGGGGATTTTTTTTAAATAGAGAATTACGGTTGCAATTCAATGGACGTTCTCGAAACATTTTTTATTATGAAGTACAATACGCTATTTTATACGAGGCAGATTTTTGTAATGGACTAACCGGGCCTGCAGTTACAATAGGATGCGGCTCTATACTCACACAGGACTTATAACGTAGCTTAGCTTATAGCGTCAGATCCCTGGGAGCGTGCCTACTATATGCTAAACAGCGTTATGGTTTGTTGAAATTACATGTTAAAAATAGCGGAGATTTTAATATAGCGTAATGAGAAAAATGTCTATCCAATTCCCGATGTCCCACTTTACTATGCCAAAGTGCCCTAGCCTCCCGGTATGACAATTTTTCACAAAGTCGAGTTAAATTATGTGTACATCTTTTTGCATTTGTTCAACGCTCGTTAATAGTAGTGTAAGACGCGAAAGAATATATATATATATATGTGTGTGTGCGTGCGTGCGTGCGTGCGTGAGTGCGTGAGTGCGTGCGTGCGTGCGTGCGTGCGTGAGTGCGTGCGTGCGTGTGTATACCGATTGATTGTGCTTGCTATCTTTAAATGTTTCCCCACTAACCTCAGCTGGGGATCAACGACGGCAGACGGATCTTTGCTGGCGCCCATCTTACAGGTTCCCGTTGAATGGTAAACGATGGCACACATGGTGCGTACAACACACTCTAGATATTTGTCTCCTACGAATTTGCAATAATAAACGTAGATTAATATTAAAGCCCCGTTCTAATCCGCAACAGGACATATAGGCAGTAATATGCATGCATATCGTAACGGGTAGCATCTACACTTGGAATTACATAAATTTTATGGAGGGGAACATACTGAGGAGTACGACGTACTGAAGTTTACGTATAACGCTGTAATTTAATATGCTACCTTTTCCATGCTGGGTACATCCGGGCACTTTCCAGAACTCGGGGTTTATGCTAGCTCCCACTGATTTAAAAGGTTTAGATTCGCCAACTCTAATAGCTAACTTGATACCTATATATAAGGAATAATTTATAAGTTATCGCTTTATCATAACAATATATGACACGTTTCATTCTCTGTTTAATTTATTTAAAAAAATCTATATTTCTACGTGTTTTGTTGTAACTGCGTACCTTTAAGAGATATGATAAAACATCGTGCGACATAGGCAACGTTCTTAATTAGTTTAGCAGTGATAAATATTGTGTCTCTTGGTTACCTGCTACCATGGTTTTAACGTCCTGTTCGTCCTCGAAGTAGCGTGGATCTATGAGTGGATAATCCAGAGGGTCTCTCGTTCGCAAGCGGATCTCTCCGACACTTTTAGGGTTCGACAATATTGGTAACAAACCGAAGAGATGGCGATTTTCTTGAGCAGCAAAGTTGCTGTCTTTTATAAACTGGCTCAAAGTAAACAGTTTTAAGATCAGTTTTGGAAGAAATCGAATCGCTAATATTCTCTCACCCTGTCATTAGAGGGGAATGTATTTAACAAAAACTATCGCCTTTTACAAATGGTGGGAGCTTAACCACAAATGCTGTGATGAACTAGGAAATGAAGAACGATAACATTATACATGTTCTTCTGGCAACGAAAGGACAAAGGTTCGAAAGTTTCCCCCAGCCGAACTATTGTTTCCCCCAGCCGAACTATTGTTTCCCCCAGACGAACACTCCTTTCGCAATAAACGGCACGTACTTTTCGTTCCAGACCAAGCAGGCTGTAAGCGGTGTCTTCACTGTCTGACCCGCCTCCGAATGATGTTAAAAGCAGTTGCGTATCTGGCAAGGTGCGCTCGTTTTTCCCGCCCCGTGCGTTGACGTATGCCATACCCTCAACGCCGTTGGAAGCGTGTGGACCTGCGCGTAAACACATTAACGCCGGTACTGCATCGGCCCGGAATATCGGCTAAGGCTCAGTCATCTTAATCCTAATACTTACAGCTGACGGATGGATGACGGTGTGGGTGGTTCGCCTGGTGAGGTTAGAGATCCGACTTGCCCATCATAAGCATAAGTCTAATGTTTAAACTTTTAACTTCCACACAAGGACTCTCGTTGAATGTTCGTTGCACTGCAATAATTTCTCGTTATTTCTAATGTCACAACGCCGACGTCGCCTAACCTTTGCCAAAAAGAATCCACGCCAGTCTGCTCTGAAGGCTTAGCATGTCCTCTTTTATGACGGATACGTTCTTCTCCATGAAAAATTCGAAGAGAACGCCAACGTGGTCTTGTAGGTGTTTGCCTACCGGTAGATCCGCAACGGCTGGTATCTGAGAATGTCATAGATAGTAATATCTATTCATTTCACATATTCCATAAACGTTAGAAGCTATACTACGTACGTGCAATCCACCACACGGATGTCAATTAAGCCCGAGGGGTGCGGGCTAATGTTAGGGCCTTCACTCAATGCAGTGTCGTTAATTAGCCCATGTCCTTGTCTAATTATTAAAACTCGGGGTTACATTAGAGCTAGAGTCGCGATAGCGGGTGAAGTCCGCAACGGTGCTACTTTTACGCCTTCACTTACATTGAACTGGTCAAGTTGCTCTTTTGGACCAACGCCAGACAAGAGGAGGATGTGAGGAGAGCCGATAGTTCCAGCAGAGAGGATCACTTCCCGAGACGCTCTCGCTTGTTTCTTCTCGGCACCATGTATAAACTGCAAGCCTACCGCCCTCTTGCCCTCGAACATCACCTGGAAAATGCTTAAATCATTGAGTGTAAATCACTAATGATACAAGCGTAATCTCCGAATTTAAAGAGCACAATTATATAAGCAAAGCAACATGTTACGTTCGTCCTGTCTAGTTTATATTCACACCTTTGTTACGTGGGCGTGCGTAATGACGTGTAAATTAGATCTGTGCAAAGCTGGCTTCAGAAACGCCTTGGCGGCGTCGACGCGAACGCCATCTTTGATGTTTGCCTGCGCCCTCATGAAACCTAAAAAGAGGCAAAAATTTCATTATCCCGAAGACTCGAAAGATTTTCCGCACTCGCATGTCAAACAGAAGCCTTGAGTAGCCACGGCGCTTCCATGTGGGGCTTACCGTGCGGATTTTCCCCGTTGAGGTCGCCCACCTTGTAGCCTAATTCTCGTCCAGCCTGTAGAAACAGTTCTGAAAGTACGCCTGATGCGGATTCTGTGATAGTAAGAGGTCCTCCGACGCTGTGGTACTCTATGTAAGAAATCAGGCAAACTCAAACGCCCCGTAATTCCACAAGAGGCCAAATAAAGTGTTCGTTCGACTACTACGTATAATTAGTAATGGGGATTACGTGAGAAGTATTGCGTAGTATTACGTGAAGCATGCATGCTAAGCGTTATAATGACGAGATTTAGCTTTTACTGCTGCCTTAATTTGGCGTTCGTGAGCTAGACTAGCTAATACACGTAACCTACTGGAATTCATCAGTTCAGGAATCTGCATATCCTCGGACTTCATAAAGTATGGAAGTACGTCGTTGTAACTCCATCCCGTTGCTCCCATCTTCGCCCATGTATTGTAACTTTCAGGGGGGCCACGGGTGTGCACCATAAAATTTATACAGCTGCTGCCTCCAAGAACCTTTCCTCTTGGCACCAAGCTTTTCTGTAAGTATGTTTTTTTAGTAAGCATCTATTGGTGGTAAAGCGTAAAAGATACGACCGCATGCACAAGTAATGGTACACAAATTGCATACTATCTTTGAATTTTGTTAAATCCGCCCATTGAGTATTAACTGCTAGCGAGTAAGCAACCACCCTAAATATATTAAACGATAATAATAATAATAATAATAATAATTATTTTTATTATTATTTAATGTTATTATTAATATTATTATATATTTTACCTTGTTCTCACAGGCATTGCATGAAAATTTCTGTGGCACTGTCTTATAATCCCAGTCCACCTTCGAGTGTCTCAGATATATGTTTAGTGCCGGCATATCTATTTGCGTGTTACCATCGGGTTCCCCTCCCGCCTCCACCAGCAGCACTTTCACATCAGGGTCCTCAGATAGACGGTTAGCTAGCACACATCCTGCCGTCCCTCCCCCTCCTACAGAGATATAACGCAAAGGAAAAAGAATTAATTGCCTCAAGGACAGTCATCACGTTTACGTGACAGTCCTTTCGTTATCCGAGAACTTAGTTTGACTGCCGATGTCGTCGTTAAAGCCTATGCAAATTAACTCATCTATATGGATTTAACATGGGGTTAGAGTATTTAATAAAGAAATCATCAATGTGTTCAGTTGAAAACAATCACAACTGCATATTACTGGGTTTAATGCACTTTTTTATTGGGTTCGCGTAGGCTTTAACGGCTATTTCAGATGACAGTTAATGGGAGCGTTCCAGTATATAAGGACAGCAGAAAGTAAACATGACAAGGCTCGCACCGTTGCAAAACTGCTAGGCCACCAACCCTAAGTTGACCAAACCTTTATTCACTTTGATTGAATCAGAGCCCACAGACAAAGTTGGTAAATTTCTCTCTCGTTTTGTTCCCACACGAGAACGAGTAGGCACCCGTCTATCCCGTAGTCGGCGCAACGTGCCATGCGGTGTTATTTCCAATGTGAACGTCCCTGCTTTAAAATCGCGGTTTGAACCAGTTTTGCAGCGCTTGACCTTCAGCGGTATTTGATGATAGTATAGAATATACAGGATAGAAATATATAGAGACACAGGTCTAATTAGTATTATTTCTATGGCTGCGATCCAGGGCTTAGGAATTAACCGCGCCGGCCTACATAGACGTGCAGTATACTGGCTGAATGAGTCACAGATAACTTGCGAAGGTGTCAACATCATATATATGTATATATATATATATATATATATATATATATATATCGCCCCAAGTGCACGACCGCTTTCGAACTAGTTGCCATATATCCCGAGCTTACCAATAATGTAATCGTAGACATCGTCCGGATCCTCTACGCTGTATTTTTGCCTTTGCCCAATTCTTATGTACAGCACTGCTGCAATCAGCACGACCAGAGGTAGAACCACTTTGTTCGTCATTGCAATAAGCTTCTCACCAACCCAAGTCCTTTCCTAAGATTCAGCAGTCCTTCAGGATCATAGGATACACTAAGTGTGCGCCGTATCAGAAGGAATTCTATACCAGCTATATATAAACCGGTCCGGTCCAGGTCAGCTCCATGTTTATTCCAGGTGCCGTTTCCGCTACGTGATCGTCCGAGAGATTCCGTGCTGCCGATTGATAACACTGCAATGCTGACTGATAATAATTATATCATCGTTAATTAAGCACAACGACTATTTGCTTAGTGATCGCAATTACATGACTATATATCGGGGATCAAACGTACGCAGGCGGCGTGTGAGTAGTAAGTATATAACCTAGATTATTTACCCTCGCCGCCGATGCACTTGAGTGCGTACGAGCGCCGCTATCAAGGCCAGCGCCATTAGAAATAGTATAGAGCCTATGCGGTTGCTTGTGTGCGCGGACCAGCAGAAACACACGCGCACGTTATAGTGATTTGTTTAAAAACTGGAATACAGGTATGTGAGTCAACCCTGCACAGACCGCCTAAGGGACATATATTATGCGTTCGTGTAGTCAGAAAATAATATTTATTAATAAACGATGGACTAAAAAATGAAATAATTAAGATATGGAACAGACGAGAATTTAAAGCTAGTAAATACGTGAATCCCCAGCAAAGCGTGAACATCTAATGATAAATTACCCCGACCATTTACGTACATACAGAGTTAAGAGATTCGGCGTAAAATAAATCTTTAAATAAAACGACTCATGATTTTGTATTCAAACCAGCAGGAAAATCACTATATGAACACCTCTGAATGTAGTTATTGTAGCAACAAAGCTTTAATAAATAATGTCAGGTGGTCTAGCTCCTCCCTAGCGGATCCCTTGCTAGCAATTATAACGCATTTCAGTACTTCAAACGGATGTTTCCCCACCTTCTAATAAGCACTACATTTGAGGAAAACTAAGTGAAACAGATGGTTAAGAATGCTAATAAATGCGCGCTTTACCTGTTTTCATTTCTTTGCTGGTATTGATTTCGTCACGGGGGGCATGACACTGGTCCCCCAATGGATCTGTTAGTATTATGATGTTATAAACGCCTGTCGCATTAGAATTCCTAACAGGTTCGTACGTAGGCGTTCCTGCCCTTTCTACGCTGCCCATCTTATCTATATCTTGCGTTGGTATGTACGCAAACTTGTCGAAATATTGCACACATTCAATCTGATATGTTCCAAGCACACGGTTAATAATAAGTACTTCAGATGACATCTTATTTTCTATCCTGGAGGAATCCAAAAGAATTGGTAGGTGATGAAAAGAAATACAATTACAATTATAGAACCACATATATGTATATATATATATATATATATATATATTTATTTATTTATTTATTTATATGCGCACATCTAATAATATAACTAACAGGGTAGCATCACATGTAGGCCTATCAGTCTGCGCATAACTTTACATAACCGTTATCATATCGCAGTATTCTTTCTCAAATATCTTAGTCAGTTTTTTTAACATCACTTCTTTACAGCGCGTATCATGTCGGCGGCCTTCTCAGCGATCATGATGACAGGCGCATGCGGGTTTCCCGCCGTGATTTCCGGCATGATGGAGGCATCCACGACCCTCAGTCCTTCTACTCCACGCACCCTGAAACACACGAACCGGTGCAAGTGAAACCGTTTACCAGCCCGTGTTATACCAAAGTGAATAGAACCCCATTTGTTTTCGCTCACCGCTGCTCATATACATAGCTCAAACAAACAATATTTTGGCTCAAAATACTGGACACGTCGCAGAAAATATAGCAGTTGGTTTGATGAATAAGAAGACATCTCGTCGTAATACATTTCGTCGAGTATGACTCGAATCCGCGCTTGATAAAATTGTAAGTCTTGGTCGCATGTCACTAGTAACAGCGACACAGACTTCTCTGGATTTATGTAAGGATGTCCACTAACCTCAGCTGCGGATCAACGACGGGCAGACGGATCGGTGCTGGCGCCCATCTTACAGGTTCCCGTCGGATGGTAAATTGTTGTGGATATACTCCGTGCAACGCACTCCAGATATTTGTCACCTGTGTAATATAATTACGATAGATGATGTATTTTACTGACCATACTGCTTTCTGAAATGTTACTACAATCTAATTTAATTTACGACATTACTTACACACTGATCGGAAGCCTCGTCATTCATTTACAGGCGATGTTAGGCACGTGATTCATGATGTAGTAAAATCCACAATTGCCGTTTATTGGTAAGTGTGTGAATGTGGAGATCTATCATAGACAAATCAACGGCGATACTATATCGTATTGTTCTGCGCCGTGATGGGTTATTACCTTTGCCGTGCTGAGTGCACCCTGGCACGTTCCAGTTATTTGGATTCATCTTTGCTCCGATAGACTTGAATGCATTTGTCGCTGATATCCTCATCGCGAGCTTGATCCCTGTTAAATTACATTATTTATTGCTACGTTCACGTACGCGTGTGCATGCGTTTGTGCGTGTCTTGGAGTGGGCGTATATGTGTGTGTGTGGTGCGTGCGTGCGTGCATGTGTGTGTTGTGCCAAATGCACAATTACACGAATATATATAATATCAGATTATCTAAATATATCATTCCCAAATATTAATCAGTCCCAATATTACCTGCCACCATCGTTTTAACGTCTTCTTTATTCTCGTAGTAGCGTGGATCTATGAGCGGATAGTCTAGCGGGTCGCTGGTTCTCAGGCGAATCTCTCCAACACTTTTAGGTTGCACAAAAATTGATAGCAACGAGAAAAGATGGCGGTCCTCTTGGGCGCGCATAGTTAGCGTCCTTGATAACTAGAATTAAAAGTTAAGTATGTTTTCTCTCTCTGTCTCTCCAATTATATATATATATATATATATTATATATATATACGTTATTGCATAGCTATGAACCTATATGACGTGGCTGTCTCATAACTGATTACTGTCAGATCAAATTAGACGATATTCTACGGATTTCTCGCGGTTTATACCCACGAATAGAAAATTACCGTAAGCAAGACATATTGAAATGTTACAAGGATACTAAAACTAAGACCATTACCTATAGAGATGACTTTTTAGCATCTGATTGATTTAAAAGACTACTTCATTGATTAACCTTTTTATCATATCCCAGCACGTTATATGTAACATTTGCATTCATCGATCCACTTCCAGCGCTGGATAAGGCCAGCTGCATATCTGGAGGCATGCCTTTATTCTCCAGGCCGGCCGTATTGAAGAAGCCAACCGCCTCTACGCTATTGGTGGATAGAGGGCCTGCAACAATGTTTACCGCATGATATTTCTACGTAGCTGCGGTCTGGACGAGACCATATAGATACCTAGCGTGAGTAGTGAGAGAAAATACGTATGTTATTAAAACTACATACCGTCACACGCACACACGGAGAGTGAGATAGATAAAGAGAGATAAAGAGAGAGAGAGAGAGAGAGAGAGAGAGAGAGAGAGAGAATAGGAGAAGGACATCGAGAGAGAGAGAGAGAGAGAGAGAGAGACATCGAGAGAAAGGGAGAGAGACATAGAGAGAGAAAGAGAGACCTAGAGAGAGATAGTGAGTGACATAGAGAGAGAGAGAGAGAGAGAGAGAGAGAGAGAGAGAGTGAGTGTGAGAGAGAGAGAGAAGGGCACATTTACCTTTATATACATGGGCGCATGCAGACGATTGTCGTTTTACTTTGTTGTAATGTTGTTATTAATGACGATTGTGAGCAATGATCCTCTGCCTACCACCGCAGCGGTACTCGGAAACAAATACCGCACATGCCATGGACACTTAAATCTTGTACCAAACCACTACACATAATAATTCATACACCGTTGTAATCTCTATTATGTTATAGAGTTGAATAGCTGTTTCTGTAAACAGATGGCTATGTGTTCATGCATGACTGTTTATGACAGATGAACGTGATGTATTCTACCTTTTCCCAACAAATCCCATTTAGCGCTGGCCTTGAAATTCAGCACGTCTGACTTTGTAACTGAAATGTTTTTATCGACGAAGAATTCTGGATAGTGTGTGAAAAGATGGTCTTGCAAATGTTTTCCAACTGGTAGGTCAGCGACTTGTGGTATCTGCAAACAATGCAACTAAAATGAAATACAAATAAAAGATAACATCGTTTGTATATTCTTGATATTTTTGTCGTTTGATATGCTAGAACCGAACTGGTTTATATTGAACATTATAAAAAAATTAATTTATCGGCATTACACAAATATGTTATGCTTGTATAACTTACATTTAACTGGTTGAGTTGCTCTTTTGGACCAACGCCAGACAAGAGGAGGATGTGGGGAGAGCCGATAGTTCCAGCAGAGAGAATTACTTCCCGAGACGCTCTCGCTTGTTTCTTCTCGGCACCATGTATAAACTGCAAGCCTACCGCCCTCTTTCCCTCGAACATCACCTAGTAATTATTACAATATTAAAAATCATCTTGAAAATGATACATTATAAATTCTTCGATTAGGTTTAATGAACAGAGCAACTACGCAAAACCGCAGCTGGCGTATCTGGCTATACGAAGTAATAATGAAGTTTGCAACGCATGAAAACATGTAAATGCAGTTTAAATTTTTAGAGGTTTATTTGAGGTAGGTAACCGAATGTATTTCGTGTCATGTTGAACATTACCTTGGTCACGTGGGCACGGGTCATGACGTGTAGATTTGGTCTGTTTATGGCAGGTTTAAGGAAAACCTTGGCAGTATGTGCGCGGGCGCCATCTCTGATGTTTGCCTGTGACTTCATCACTCCTATAAAAGTGACAACTTGTAAATAGGATGATAGATGTAACTATTATACATTCAACTTTTAATTAAAGGATATATTGCATCCGAAATAAATAGAAAAAAATATATGAAAACCTAATGTATATTACCATAAGGATTTTCTCCATTCACATCACCAACTCTATATCCTAATTCCCGCGCCGCATCTAGAAACAAATCCCCAAGTTCCGTGTAGGTGGATTGTGTGATAGTAAGAGGTCCACCAACACCATGGTACTCTGCAAAAGGTTTAGTATATATTTACTGGCGATTGAAAAGGCTTTAATGTCTGTAAGACATTTATTTGATACATTTTACGTGTCTATAGGTGGCTATAGGCTATTTAATCTACTAAGGAATTCTCCTAAAATTTAAGTCAATACCCCCTTATTATAGTGCTAGCACCTATAGTCTCCAGCATTCATTCGGTTATTTACTAGAAGCCCATGTTCATTATTACAATTAAGGTTATACAGGTGAGTATATAAACGTACCCGAGTCCTTTAGTTCAGGTATCTGTATGTCCTCGGACTTTTTAAAGTACGGAAGTACGTTTTCATAACTCCATCCCACTGCTCCCATCTTTTCCCACTTGTTGTAAACTTCGGGAGAGCCGCGGATATAAACCATAGCGTTTATACAGCTGGTGCCTCCAAGTATCTTTCCTCTTGGCCACATACTTTGCTGATTGTGTTAAAACGTTTAATTTATAACGTGTATATGTAACATAATGGCGATTAATTGCGATCGTATTAAATAACTAAGATGTCAGGTTTCATCACGGCATTATATTAGCCAGTAACGATTGGTTTTATTATTAATCTTATATTATATATTATGACAATAGTTATAATGGTTATAATCGACATGATTGTATGGTACGTTTGTGCTAATAAACATCGAAGCTACCTTGTTCTCGCAGGCCTGGCATGAGAATTTTTGCGGCACTGTCCTAAAACGCCAGTCCAACTCCGTGTTTAACAGAAGCGCAAACGAAGCTGGTTGGTCTATGCCCTTGTTACCCTCAGGCACCCCACCGGCCTCCACTAGCAGTACTTTCACATCAGGGTCCTCAGATAGACGGTTAGCGAGCACACATCCTGCCGTCCCTCCACCTCCTATAATCGAAACCAAACTAGACCAAGAGGAAGGCTGCTGATGCGGGGTGCGTTGCGGCGTACCATTAGCCAATAACAGAAGGGTCAAGGTAAACTATGTGCCGTAGCTGAATGATACGACAAAACGTGTTAATTAAGGCAGGTTTAATGTATGCTTAGGCCGGCATATCATTCGTTGTCGATCGAACAATCTACTATACTTCATGCTTCCACGCTTTTCTGCGTTAAACGTCTAAATGACCATTCATTGGGCCACCGATGTTTCCATATGTTTGCCGACGGAACATTTAATTTAACTGCTCATAGCGGCCGATATCTATGCCCTTAAGTTATAACCATTCCTTTTCTTAACTGATTGCTTCGTTTTAGTGGAAGATTGCGTATTCGTGATTGCTCTAAATTTCCTATTGACCATGAATATCAGGCCTGGTAAGTACTCTACAGAGGCGTCAATGATTTCAGCCTTGACCCCAAAGAACACGATATTCTGCGGATGTAAGATAAGACAACGCTATATGTGGAACTTACCAATAATATAATCGTAGACATCATCGGGATCCTCTACGCTGTATGTTAGGTTCTGACCGCTTCTCATGTACAACACTGCTGCAACCAGCACAACGAGGGGAAGCAGCACCTTGTCAAACATGCTGATTTACGTCTAATTGTACAACCCGCCGACAAGCTCTTCCTTACTATAAGCTCTAACAATAAGGGAACGCTTCTCATGTACATTTGGTTAATGAATGCATGCCTACATGCACACGCTGAAACTGTACGGCCTGGAGCAAAAGTGAGACGAGAAGGCCACCTGGTAAACCGGTAAAATCTACTGTTCGTATTTACGCGACCTACATTCGAAGGGATATGTCTATTTTTTTTATCTTATTAACTATACTGTTTTATGTGAGCTTTGCTTAGCTAATAATAGCCTGAGCAGCGAGTGTAATGTGTTGAATTGTAGTATACGCCAGCTGAAAGCTTAATTTAATACTATATCGTATTGTTCTGCGCCGTGATGGGTTATTACCTTTGCCGTGCTGAGTGCACCCTGGCACGTTCCAGTTATTTGGATTCATCTTTGCTCCGATAGACTTGAATGCATTTGTCGCTGATATCCTCATCACGAGCTTGATCCCTGTTAAATTACATTATTTATTGCTACGTTCACGTACGCGTGTGCATGCGTTTGTGCGTGTCTTTGGATGTGGGCGTATATGTGTGTGGGTGTGCGTGCGTGCGTGCGTGCGTGCGTGCGTGCGTGCATGTGTGTGTTGTGCCAAATGCACAATTACACGAATATATATAATATCAGATTATCTAAATATATCATTCCCAAATATTAATCACTCCCAATATTACCTGCCACCATGGTTTTAACGTCTTCTTCATTCTCGTAGTAGCGTGGATCTATGAGCGGATAGTCTAGCGGGTCGCTGGTTCTCAGGCGAATCTCTCCAACACTTTTAGGTTGCAACAAAATTGATACCAACGAGAAAAGATGGCGGTCCTCTTGGGCGGCATAGTTAGCGTCCTTGATAAACTAGAATTAAAAGAAAGTTAAGTATTCTCTCTCTCTCTCTCTCCTCTCTCTCTCTTCTCTCTATATTATATATATATATATATTAATATATATATATATATATATAAGTTATTGCGATAGCTATGAACCTATATTGACGTGGCCTGTCTCATAACTGATTACTGTCAGATCAACCATTAGACGATAATTCTTATGGATTTTTCTCGCGGTTTATACCACGAATAGAAAATTACCGCTCAAGCCAAGACATATTGAAATGATTACATACGGATACTAAAACCAAGACCTATTACCTTAATAGAGATGAGCTTTTTAGCATCTGATTGATTTAAAGACTTACTCATGATTAAACCTTTTTATCATATCACCCAGACGTATATGTAACATTTGCATTTCGCAATCGGCTACATAAAGCGCCATATCTCTCATCCCACTCCAGCGCTGGATACACTTAACGTCAGTGTCATCTGGGCCGGAACGGCCCGGCCAGTCTCTATATATCGGGAGGCATGCCTCTTTATTCTCCAGGCCGGCCCGTAATTGAAGAAGCCAACCGCCTCTAAATACGTATTGTTGGATTTAGAGGCCCTG